AAGGGCATCGCCCGCAGGAACTGTCAACGCCACGGCCTTCGGTCGATGCAGCTGATTGCCTTGGCTTGCGGAAGCACAATTCGCTCTCGTTCTAGAAAGAGTCACTCTAAATAAGGCCTACATCTTCACACACATAAAGCCCATTCCGGATTTTTAGGAAGCAATTTAATTGCTTGATATTAGAGAGGGGCAGTAGGTGGTGTAGTTACAAGTGCGCGCTTACCACTCGCGCGGTCCTGGGGTCAAATCCTGGGCCGACTCCCGCCCGGCCAACCAAGCCTTCTTTCCTCCGGGGACGGTAAATTGGTACCAGATTCGTCTGGGAGGATAAGAACACTGACTTGTACATCGGCTGGCCCCCAAGTCATTGTATAGGCCACATCGCATTCAATAAGCCACTACGATTCTGAATGGAAGTAGAATGCGTGCCGCATCCCACAAAGGGATTGATCAACATCGAAGACTTTATCCTTTTTATCCTTTTAATGTTTTGAAGACAACTCACCTAGTATCGTCCCAAGTTGACTGCCGTCACCACAGCATCGACTTAAGTCTCCTAGTCGAGGACTCGCTTCCAGAATGGTACGACGGAGATCAGAAGGCTTCTTCGAGTAATGATCGCGTGTGAAAAACAGATGTTGAAAGACGTGGCGACGTTCATCGTTTTGTAGTCGGTCGAAAACTCGGCAAAATGGGTGGAGGAGTTAGTTCTAGTTGTGAAAGAGTAACCACCTCTTTTCATACCACTTGTACCGAATCGACTATCGTTATTTCCACGTCGAGTGCATCCAGCTTCTTCTTCAGATGAAATATAAAACGAAATTATTCCTTATCAAAGGAAATAAATTAAATATGTGAAGGGCAAGGACGAAGTGCCGCGCGAGAAGGGCTTGACCATCTAGATGCGAAACTTTAATTTTTACACGCCATAGTAAGATTTCCTCAGCGCCTCGGTGGGGACCTTTAACATTCAGAAAAAGGAGTGGGACCGACAATTTTGAGGGCAGTGTTACCGCGACGAAGATTATCGCAAGACATTGCTAGTCGCACTCATGAGTGCACCGTTACATGCCACGGGCATAGTGCACCATCAAGTGCTGTCTGCGTTTCAAGAAGTGTTACCAAAACAGCCGGAGCTTTGACTAGAACTGTCCTAATATCGCGTGCGCGGGCAAGGCTTGATGCTCATGGATAAAGTGCGTGAGGCTCCAACTGGTGGATGTCCACAACGTAGCATAGCCGCTAGAGACGCGATCGGATGTGTATGGTCACTGTGGCCAAATAATACTACGTAGACGTGTGAGTGCAGAAAAGCAGAAAGTCAGCGCGATTAAACACTGAGTTCGAGTTGTCCGCAGACTCTGATGCCGCCGCATAGGAGAGGTGCATGGGAGGCCCCTGCCTTTATCGGTACACCATCTGGATCCACTGCCCAGAGCGCGTGGTGAGTTGGCTGACACATTTCCTTGTTAACGTAAGAGAAGAAGGAAAGATGCAGGAAGCGTGGAGGAGCAGCACAATCGTCCCCATCTTCAAACAGAAAGGGGACGCGACGGAGTGCTCCAACTACCGCGGCATCAAGTTGACTCCCCATACCATGAAGCTGTACGAGCGCCTGGTCAACACTAGGCTGGGAACTTGTCCCTATCTCGCAGGAACAGTTCGGCTTCATGCCCGAAAGGTCCACCACTGATGCCATCTTCTTGGCTAGACAGGTGATGGAGAGGGACAAAGGG